GCACAGGAAAAGGTGGTTACCACCATTAATCATTAGGGAAACATTGATTAAAACCACAATGAGCTTAAAACCACTTTAGAATTTTAAAATTAAAAAGGCTGATTATCCTAAGTCATGACTAGGATGTGGAGCAACTGAAACTCTTATACACTGCTTGTGGGAATATAAAACTACTTTGGAAACAGTTTGGTAATTTCTTAAAAAATTAAGCATATATTTACCATCTTTCCAGGATCCTCTCTATATACATTTTTTGTATAAAAAGAGCGTATGATTATTTGAAATTGAGAGAGAGAGCTGAAAACTATTTAATCCAATCTTAATTTTGATTTTGCATAATGTTGCTAATTTAATTTATTTTTCAAGTTGGAGGGCTCTTTTAGCTCAGCCACAGTCTTTTTTTTCAGACTTCCTACTTCCCTGTTCTTAACAACCCCCAAAAGTGTTGTTGGCAGCTGAAATGGCTCTTGTTTCATCAACTCCCAGGATTTCCACAGTGGTGCCCAGGGCTTCAGGGACCTAGCTGAACATGAATGGAAATGAGAAGGGTGAACAAAGAGTTTAAATAGTTTAGTGTATAAACTGGTTTATGTAAGGATAGGCCTGCTTCTCTACTTCTTGTTTTTCATGTATGTAGTTGTGGCTCCAAAGATTGTGCTGGTTTTGAATGTTAGCTTTGGCACTCTTTTGAAATTCTAGACATGCTGTCTATTTATAAAGAATTTGGGGGATTGAACAAATAAGAGTAAATCCGAAGTTAAGGGAACAAGTCTCGACATTGAAGATAATCACCTCCACAAGCCATTAGGAGACTGACTTATATTCTAGTTTCATCTTAGGAGCATTTGTTTCTTCTTACTCTTCTATAACACTAGGGCTTACAAATGGAGTTAAGTAAGTATATTGGCTACCAAGGAGAGGGAAGGGAGCAGAGCAGCTCTGGAAAACCCATGGCAATAGAAAGACTACCAATCCCTTCTCCCCCAGCCAGAAGACCACTATTAATTTAGAAATTTTAAGCCCTATATGATAAGAATTTCTAGCAGAAGTACAGTTTTCTTTAAGTGAGTTAAAATTATGATACATTATCTACTAATTTACTTTTTTGGATATCATACCATATAACATAATAATGTTTTAACTTTAATATAGCCTTTAAAGACTTCTAGTATAAGTTCATACTGTTCTTACTGTTCTGTTTAATGTTAATGCTAAATTTTTTTGAGGGGACAACAGTTATAGTCTCTATAATTCAGTTTTGGTGATATTTGTTTAATTATGTACTACTAATTTTGATGTAAGGAAAATTATTTTTTAATGGAATATAATTTTTTATCCATAAGTTTGCTTCACACAATATAATTGTGACATTGTATTCTTAATCATGTCCTCATTTTACAGTTCTTATATTAAGAAATTGTATTACATGCATTTCTATTTGGTATTATATTCTTATTTATTGAATAAGGTTTAATTTCTGGTTCTGAATAACATTATTACTATTTACCAATTTTAGGTGGAATTCATACTAATCCCTGAAGTGTAATACACATTAAAATAGCTAAAGCATTAGAAATTTTGGCACTTGAGCCCTTAAAGGTAATTTCATTCTAAGCCAGTTAGTATGGTGATACGTAAGTAAAAATGGATTAGTATAAATTGTTCTTTTAGCTCTGTATCCTGTTTCTTCTTTCTACTTAATCTTTTCTTAAAAAGTAACTATAGATAGCAAATAGAATGATGGCAACAGAAATCAGACTGCCTCTTTCCTGCTCCCAACTCCCAACTCTTCTACTTCGGAGCCAAGCAGCTGCCGATGCAGATAGGTAGATGGCACCTGCAGGTTCTCAGCCATGAGACCTGTTGTGATGCTGTCCTTCTTCTAAGACAAACTCAAGGTTCCATCAGTGTAGGGGAGCCCTTGGAAAGAATCTGAGAGGCAGGTGAGTGATAGTAAGAGACTGCAATCCCATATCCATTCAACTTATTCACTAGTAAGGGTAAAAGAAAGATATTTACAAATGAACAAAAAGTGAGAGGACATTCACATTTGATACCCAATCCAAGAAAAATGCTTGAAAAATGACTTAATATAAGTAACAATATTTATAAAATACAGATTTTAAAAGTCTGTCAAGTCCAACCATGTATTTTTCCCCATAGTTGAAGTTCTCCCCTGTATTGCTAAAATTTAGCAAGTTATATTTGTATAGGCACATGTATTTAGAATGTCATCATATTTCATCTACTAGGACAAATGTATTATTTTGGACAGATTTTTCTTTTGAACGGAATTAAAAACTCATGCTTTTTTATCTATGGAATTAATTGCTTTGACTTCATGATTGTCCTAGTGATTTAGCTAGAAGGATCCTGAAATTTGGAGTCTGAAGGTCTTTAATTTCAGTCATTTACTAGTAGAGGCAAGTTACTAAACTGCTGTGGTTTTCTTTATCTTTGAATATGAATCCTATATTATAGATTGTTAGAGAAATTAATGAACACATAAATATGTCTTAACAGGTGTTTTTATCAGAAACACCAGTCATCTGTCTTTAGGAATGGGAATTACCATATTTTCAAGACAGTGGTTATAAATGGAGGAGGGTAGGACCTGCCACGGAGGGGGATTTTGTAGGGTAGGAGACTTTAACAATACTGTTTGGGTTTGGGGGGGGGGGTTGTTGTTTTTTGGATGTGGATACTCATCATCCTGCGTATTTTTCTATGTCTTAAATATTTAATTGTTAAAATAATCTTCCTAATGAAATGCATGAAACTTTGCCATGAAATATCCTAACCAGTAAAGTGTCTTAACATTTTTCTATCAAAGGACTTCCTAGGACACTCTGAAATGTATGCTTCATAATTCTTAGCTTGTTTGGGACTTGCTAGTCAGAATATCATTTCCTTCATGCCATTCTAGTGATGTAATATTGCACAAAGTATCACGTTTCTACTGTGTGTGTTAAGTAATTGGCAGAGGTCACAAATTGTCTGTTTGGGGATTGAACCTGGCTCTTAGAAGTACTGTTTGTCCCACGCAGTATTGGTCTTTATGGAAACTTAAAGTCTCATGAAAAATCAAGAAATGTCATAACCCTGAGTTTGCATTTCTGTATGACAACGGTGAGTTGGTGCTGAGTCTCAGCTGCTCTCTTGACCTAGGCCACGTGTTCACTGTTCTGCACCCTCACTATGCTCCCTGAGACTGAGGCCAAATGTCATTTGCCTTTTATCATCATAAATGTTTATATTACTGCTTGGCCCCCATAGGCAGTTAAGTTTATAACTCTTAGAGAGGTTGTATTCAGTAGATGTCACAGTCTTCTATTGATATTATGCGTGATATCTTAACTTGAGGTTACATATTTTCAGTACTTTGTAACTTTATAAAGCTCGCTTGTGTACATTTTCTCTATAAACATAACATAAAGTACTATTTTTAAGTTTGTCAGCTCCTCCTTCTGTCAGTCCTTTCATGTTACAAAGTAGTTATTTCTCAAATCTAGTTCTTCCTGTCCAACCTTACCACCACTGCTCCACCTCAGGCCCTCATCATCTCTCACCTGGAATTCTTTAATTGCTTTCTGACTGAGCTCCTCATCTCCAGTCACATTTCTTTCAGTTCATCCTCAAGTGTATCTCTAGAATAGGCAGATCTCCTCTCCTCACACCACTGTTTCAAATTCTTCTGAGTCTCTCTGTCTTCTATGGCAAGATCTGCAAATGTTTCCTGAAAGGTCCAGATAGTAAATATTTTAGGCTTTTGCTGGCCAGAAGTTTCCTGCTACAAAAAAATTGACTCTGCTGTGGTTGGACTGAGCACAAAGCACCCACAGACAGTATGTAAACAAATGGGGATGGCTGTTCCAATAAAACGTATTTACAAAACCAGGTCACCAGTCTAGGGCCATGGTTTGTTAACCCTTGTTCTAGGATAGGAAAGACTCTCCCTGTCTTTCTTCCTGTCTTAACTACTACTCTTCCATCCTGTTTCTTACAGTTTATTCAGAAGCACCACTCAAATTCTTAAACCTTTCTTGTACATCTTCTTTCTATATCCAATTATTTAATTCTTTCATTTAAACCATTTTTTCACAGAGAAATATTAAAATATATCTTATAAAATGTTAATTCTCATATGATGGTATCATATTGAAACATGAGCTATTTAGTCACTTGCTGACATTTTTATAAATGTATAGTGAAGTATAGTCTTAAGTGTTAAAAAGAGTTTTTAACAAATCTTTCATAAAAATCCGTAACTTTGATACAATCCATTGTTGTGGCTTATGGCTTGGATACCATCAATACATTATCCAAAAATCTCAGAATAAGGTCACTGGTAGGAAAGTAGTTTAATTTCAGCATTATCAAGTGTATTGAATCAAGGTCCTTTGAGAAAACAATTTTAGGACTGTTAATAGGAATTGAAAGCACGTAACTCACATTGTGTCCTATCTTCATCACAGTTGCCCCTTGCAAATAGTTAGGAAAGCAGAAAATATTTGGTTTTAGGATACGACTTGCCTGAAGTATTGGACATCAAATTGTTGCTTAAATTCTAATAGATAACTTTACACCTTTCCAAATGCAAAAAAAAACAACAGAACTTGATAATATGTTGTTAAATATATTAACAGTGTGGGTTTTGCCTCATTATTAAATTACAGTTTTTAGGCTATTGCTGATTGGTACTGATTTAGGTGCTGATTTAGGCTATTGCTGATTGATGTTGGATAGTAAACAAAACCTTTTCCAATAAAAAAAAGAAAGAAATTCATTCTTGCATCATATTAATGAAAAGTGTGATTTGATTACTGTGGTGAGAGTAGATTAGTAGAGCTGTTGTGATGGAATTTTGTTAAGATGTGGATGGATATTAAGCTTGATAAGATAAAGTCCTCTAAATTTTCTGATATTTGCATAATAATACATTAATTTAAAGCTCTCTATATTAAAACTGACCTGTAAATGTTTTTTTGGTTGATTCTTAGCCACCAGCTGAACAGGCCAAAGCCAGACTACAGCTGGTTCTTGAAGCTGCTGGTAAGTGCATAATTTATTTAAATGAAAAAGTACTAAATAAATCTTAACATGCTTACAGGTGGGTCAAAGAAAAAAAACACCTATTTTCATATATCTTCACAAATTTATGAAATTTAGGTTATATGTATGGCCATATTTTATAGGAAATATTTATTGCTACAGTATAATGCTAAAAAGTCATTCTTTACCTTTTTATTTATAAAATTGGCTTCAATTTTAGTTTCAGTTTTGATAAAGTCCAATTTATTGACTTTGCTTTTGGTGGCATATTTAAGAATTCTTTACCTAACCCCACATCACATCATGAAAATCTCCTCCTATATTTTCTTCTAAAAGTTTTATACTTTTGCATTTAAGACCATGTATGATCTATTTTGACTTAACTTTTGTATAAAGTGTGAGTTTAAATCACGTTTTCATTGTTCTAAAGGAAACAAGGTAAATGTAATATAGTAATTTCTCCAATTGCATTGGACTAACTCATTGGACTGTTCTGGGTACTTTCTAACCTTAAAATACCGTATGTTTTGTTTTTCAATGATACAGTAATATAGTGACTTTGATTTTACATATAATGCCTAGATTTATGTAGACATTAAATATTTTACCTTTTCAAAAAACGTGAAAGATCAATGTTATCTTTTCTAAGTACTGATATTTTACTTTACATCTCAATGTGCTCTTCAAAATGTATGTAACTTATTTAAATAAGTTGTTAAGGTTAAGCATGAGGGAGGGTTAGAATAATAATGCCAAAGTAGTACATATTTCTTAAAATTATTTACTTTTTAAAGATCTGTAAAGAGTCCATAATTTCCAATTGGAAAGTGAGAATTCTATTTTAACATCAAAAGTAATTTCGGACTACCAGATGATAGTAGTTATATTTTTAGTGTTCATTGATTGAGAAAATACATATGTGCATATTGATTCAAGGATTTCTTGGATTAACTCCTACCAAGAGTCTCCACAGTTTAAAGATTGGGAGCACCAGTGTAAATGATATACTAGCTTCATAAATCACTAATAGAAAATAAAGGGATTAAAAATTGATAAATATTTTGACTGTGAGTCTCTATACCAGTCCATATTTCTTTAAAAGTCATTGTATTTTATGTATTACTATTACTCATTTTATCTTTAATTATGTAGAAATTACAATTTCTACATAGTATTACAGTTTTGCTTGCTATCAGGTTTTTCATATTTTGACTCAAATATACTGTAAGATAAACTAGTTAATATGATTCTCTGTCATTTACATAATGTACATTGATTCTTTAGTAGCATTTTGCTTTGAAAAATTATTTCCAGTTCATAATTTGAGTATGGACAAACTCTTAAAGAAAATTTTTATGGTGCTTAGTTCAGGAAATATTTGTTTCCATTATTATAACCATAAAGAATTTCATTTCATGGTTTTATACAGTTAATCCTTATCTTTTAATATGATTTTGAAGCACATTATAAAACATATCTGACACTCCAAACCTCATGGTATATAACTTGCTTATATCGGTCCCAGCTGTTACCCCTCATAATTTAACTATCTAAATTCTGTTATGGATAAAGAGCTAGGTTCTGTGAATTTGAGATGCATTCAAAATATTATGACAATTTTACAAATTAGAAAACTTACATTAGCTGGATAAGCAAAAGACAGACCTTAGCTACACGTAGCATTATTTACTTAATAATTTTCTTTATTTAACATGTTGTCCCCAGCATTTCCCTCTTATCAGTTACACTGTGATATATATCCTGTTACAAATTATGTTTTTTATATTTTAGATTATTTTCTTGGAATTGATTACTATAGAAATGAATTTATGAGGTTAGAGGGTATTAATATTTAGAGTGACTTTTTATGCATTTTTGCTAAATTGTTTTGCAAAAGGACTGCACTACTTTACATTTCCACTATTAAACATTTTTACAAAGTCTTCACTTTTGATGCCAATTCCATGAATATATTGCTTTATAATATGACATAACATATTTACACCCCTTTGGAAAACATCCAGTACTGCTTTTAATGAGAACGTGTGGACTTGGAGAGAAGTAGGTGGATGGATAGGGAAGTAGGATATAAACAAATACAGAACTTATTCTCAAAGTTCTAGATCCTTTTCAGTGAAGAATACAAGGTGTTCATGGTATTATTAAAAACAAATAAATAAAGGAAGGGGGAATAAAACGAACTTGAGCTTAGTCTGGAAGTCTTGCTATTAAAGTCTAGCCTACTCCTATGATTGAGGTACCTGTATAGGAAGGTCTGGTAGTACCCATTTTGTCACATTGGAGGAAGTTTACTTGGGTTCTCAGGGAAAACATCCTTGACTTTGGGCCTTAAAATTGAGTACAAAGAAAGACTTAATTAAGGCTGTATGTTAAGATTCTTGAGACAGGATTTATTTCAGCTTTATAGTTACTATAATCTGGTAGATAGGGTTTCTATATAAAGAAATCCTGAAGCTACTTAGTCCTTTATTCTAATTTCAGGTCCCAGAGGAAAGTTTTATATGTAACCATTGCATTTTTATTGATTTATGAGTGAATGTTAATAATGTTATTGGTTTGGAATTAAAATACATTTAGAACATTTGGCAACAATTATTAGTGGTATGATTTCAAAAGACATGTGTGAGTGAAATAACATTAAGCAAAATGTAATTGTAGGGTATCATGCATATTATACCAAACATGAATTTAAAGTCATAGATTTTATTGTATTTGTTACGATCATATTTTTTATACATTAAATTTACATATTTATACTTTGTTATGCTCAATCTTCAGATTTAGATAGAATCTTTTTTCATGTTCATTACTAAATTACAATTGAAACCAAATTTCATGTCTCTTGTTTAACTTTTAATTCAAAGGTGATGTGAAGTTAAGGTTATATCTAAGATTGCTTTTCTATTGTTTTCAAATGGCAACAGGACACAGAAGGTTGCAGAATTGTATAAATTTGTAAGACAGAATCTTTAAGTTGTAACCTCAGCTAATGGCTTACCCTATGATATTGAGTAAATCCTATTAACCCTTTGTGCCATGCTTTCTTTTCCTTTCCGTTTTAAAAATGCTTTCACCATTTTCCCATTTATAAAGATGCAAAACTTTGAAATTTTTATCTTTGACTTCTTAAGAGGCAATGATTCACCTAGAATAAATGATCTTATTTTGAAGTATTTTTTATATTTAGCCCTTTATTATCTTTCCCACTGCCATTTCCTTAGTCTAGATGCCAAACATTTCACCCAAAGGTTAATCTGTGACTTCCTTATCGGTCTCTTGCTTCAGTTCTCTTCTCTGGAGATGGTAGTGAAAAGTGGAAGGGTTCTAAGCCTACTTATACTACTTACTCTTTGTGACCTTGATGTTTATTGGTTAGCCAAAACAGAGTATTTTTTAAAAAATGGAACATGACAAATGTATATATTTTCTAGTTTACTATAGTTCTCTATTTTTTAAAAAGTAATTTGTTGAGATGAAATTCACATAATATAAAATTAATCGTAATTGTTTAAAGTGAACAAACCAGTGGCATTAAATACATTCACAGTGCTGTATAATTTTCCAAAACATTTCCATCACTCCAAAGTAAAACCTCTTACCTGAGAAGCAGTTTATCTCCACTCCTTGGACCCCCTGCAACCACCAATCTGTCCTCTGTTTCTGTGGATTTATCTATCCTGGATATATATAATGGAATCACACAATGTGTGACCTTGTGTGTCTGGCTTCTGTACTTAGCATTATGTTTTGGAGGTACAGCCACATTGTAGCATGTGTCACTATTTTATTTCTTTTTATGGCTGAATAATATTCCATTGTCTGTATGTATACCATTTATTTATCCATTCATATATTGATGGAAATTTGGGTTACTTCCACCTTCTGACTGTTGTGAGTAAGTGTTGCTATCAACATGCATATACATGTACTTGTTTGGGTACCTATTTTGTAATTTTGGGTGGTATATACCTAGAAGTGTTAATTGTGGGGTCATTTGGTAATTCACCAAACTTTTCCAGTGTCTGAGCGATATTACATTTTCATCAGCAGTGTAGGAGGATAGTCCCCTACTATTTCAGCTAAACCACATCACACATTTAAATTACCTATTTGAAAGTATTTAGCTTTGGGAACTTCTCTGTACCATAATTTACTCATTTGAAAAGGGGCAAGATTATAACTACTTTATAGGATTTTTGTGAAGATAAGTATAATATGTGAAATGTCTAGCCCAGAGCCTGGTGAATGGTAGCCACCAGAAAATGTTTATTTCCATATTGCTTTTTGTGATTACCACTGCTAGATGGTTCTTTCTCAGCCACCATTTGGTCATGCTACTACTTTGGCTCAAAATTAGTCCCTGGCCCTCATTTCTTACAAAATTAATTTTGCACTTCTGTGCTTAAGGTTCCAATGTTCTGTATGGTGGATCCACAGATTTTTCTATATTTATTAGAATTCATTTCTGAACTTCTCATTATTCTTTGAGTTACTCATTCTTCTGCATTTTTTAGAATTCATTTCTGAGCTTCTCATTATTCTTTGAGTTACTTGTTCTTTTCTACCTATGGATCTTTGCTCATGACTTTTTCTCTTCTAGAAATGACTTCTTCCTCCCTCTTCCCACCTCTAAACACTTCAAAACAAATCTCAAATAATATTTCCACAGGATTTTTGTGACCATTCCAGAACATAATCTTTTCTCTTCTTTTTTGAATTCTTTCTGTCCTTGTCTGCACATACCATTTATGCTATTTACTCACATATAGCTGATACTAATATTTAATTATTTCATGAGTGTTGGACTTATTTTCCCAATGAAATAATAAACATGATGGCCAGGAACCAGAACGAAAACTTCTAAGTCTTTCCCAGGAGTTTTAACAGCATCTATAGAGAGTGGTACTATGCCAAATAAGAATCCAGGTATTAATCTTTGCTGAACAAGTCATTGTGAAGAAACAAGCTGGACATAACTG